TAACAATGTTTCTGAGCAAGCAATGGTGGTTAAGAAAATATGTGGTAAAATAACTGCCCCAGTCAGATTCTGCAACTTGACCATTCAATAACCAGCACTTCTCACATGTACCTAAGCACAAAAGAGGTAAACATGAAGATTTTCAGCCAGAGTTAGCTGGTCATTACTTTAGACAATCTGGCATTGTGTTAAGAGTCCAAAGTGAATACATAATACTGTTTACTCAGCTAAATGAATGTACAAGTGGACTTGGATTTTAATCCTGATTCTGCTAGAAGAAGTCACCCAGGCTCTCAAGGCCTTGGATTCTCCATCTATAAAATAATTAAACTACATGGTTGCAAACACATTCTACTTGCTCAACAAATTAAAGCAATCCAAGTACTCAATAAATATCTAATAAAGATCATCCCCAACTGAAACAAAGGAATGCATACATACTCAAGGTCACAGGACTAGGGTGGAGCATGAACTACAGCCCCGTTTTCTTTTTACACTATTCTAACACATAATTTCCAAAATACTTTTCAGCCAAAAAAAAAAAAAAGTACATAGTCCTTTCTTCCAAGCTCAATAAATCACTTGTCATATCCAATAATCTCACCTTGACTCCAGAAAGGCAAAGGACAGTGGGAAAGGACAGCAGGAAAAGAAACAACTATGTCCACATCATTAACCTAGGGAATCAAAAGACCTGAAGACATAAATAGGTACAAATTCTTTGTCTTTTCTCAAAATTGACATCACAAGTATTTTCAGAAAAAAAAAAATTGTATGGTTTAAATTTAAGCAATGTGATGAAAGTAACTCCAAGTAACAATGCTTCCTGAAGAATACAGCACACAGGTTCTTTATTAATTCTACAGTCAAAATTTATGCCACTTGGGGCTGGTGAGATGGCTCAGTGGTCTAAAGCACCTACTTAGAACAAGCTAAGCTAAGCAAAGCACAGGGACCGCGGTTCAATCCCCCAGCACCACATGCCAGCCAGCCCTACCCCCTGGTGGGCTGAGCTGGCCACACACACACTAAATAAATAAATAAATAGATTTAAAAAAATTTATGCCATTTGATACAAAGATTTACAGTGGTAATTGTAAAGGTTTGACACAGAATGTCTACAATACCTGCTTTATTTTTATTAATACACATTTGTCAACAAACTTCTGAATAGAACACATTCTTGTGATCTCAAGTTAGGGGTGAAATAACAGTAAGTTTTCTAGATGGCTCATAATAGGAGAGTCAAGGTCAAACTGTTGAGTCTCCTTGCCCTCTCATCTAGTATTTGAAAAGTAACTAATAAAAGCACAAAATACTCCATTCCGTATTCTCACAAATACAAACAACCATACCCTGAATCAGAAAGTTCTGTCAGGACAGGCTGATGTGAACAAGAGAAGGAGTTAACAGGATTATGGCTCAGGTCACAGAAAACTTGGGTGGCAGACTGAAAAGCCAAAACTTTCATCTACTTTCTTGCAATTTCATCCCCTATCAAGTGAGAAAATGCATCTCACATGTTTCATCAGATGATTATTCAAGTGGAAGCAAAAGGTATTAAAACAGCCTGGAAATTGGGTGTCAGTGAGAAATGACTGTACTATTACTGTTTACTACCTTGGGCACACTCCCATTTACCAGCTCTAGGTTCCGCAGGGTCCTATAAAGGTGGGATAGGTACCGGCTTCTCCAGACTCCAGGCCTGGCAATCGTGGATGTAACTGTCTACCAAGTCCCTGCTACTAAGAGTTGAGAAGTGAGGGCTTCAGGCACTGGGCCTAGGAAGGCTCAAAAACTACGACCCCCCCCCCCGTCACCTTGTCCTCACCTTGGAGAATAGAAAGATACCCTAGAGAAAAGGGAGAGTGCTCCTCAGAAAGGAAAAACAGGTGTCCCTACTCTTATGCAGGCCGCAGCTGCTCAGACACATGTTTGTCGCAGGGCGAGGACGGGGCCCTGGAACCTCAGTGCCAGGGACGCCTTGACCTAGGGCAACAGAGCAGCAGGCAAGGGCGCTGGGCCTGTGACCGACACTTGCACACAAAAAGTCCGCCCGTCGTCGGGCCAGCCTGGCCTGGCCTCGCCCAGCGCCGCAGGCACCGGAGGAGGCACCCCGCCCCCGTAATCCAGAGGGCCCTGAGCTCGCTCACCTGCAGCCGGGTCACCAGTAGGCTGTAAGGCGCCATTTTGTGCACTGACAAAGATGAGGTCGCGTGAAAGTGACGTTACACGTGGCATCTTTAAAGCCTCTGGGAAGGGGCGTGGCTTGAAAAAAGCGAGGCATTAGGGCGAAGGCGGGGCCTCCCTAGAAGCGCCCGAGCCCTTCGGAACGCAGCAGGCGGACCTCCTGAAAAGGGAACTGATTTGAAGGGAAAAGAGCAGTTACAAAGGCTTGTAGAAGCAGACACAAGGTCCTGGATTCAACATGCAGCACAAAAAATACTTGAAGGATAAAAGGCATAAAAATGTTTTGTCTACGAGTAAATTTTGATTATCTATGCCCTCCAAATCTGAGTATCTTCATTAAACTTTAATACACCTGCCAGGACCGGGCTTTCCAGCCTTGAGGGAAACTCCCGCGAGAGCTAGCGAGATTCGGTGAAAAGATTGTGAAGGCTGATGGAAGCCTTAAGAACCAACCACGGCGATCTGGAGGCGGGAGCCATAGGGGTTAAAGGTCGGACGGAAGTCACCGAAGCTTCCGGCAGCCCTCTTGGGTGGTCGTTATGGCTAAGCATCATCCGGATTTGATCTTTTGCCGCAAGCAAGCTGGCGTTGGTAAGACAGCACCCTGACCCCGGCTATGGTGGGTCGAGGTGTGTTAGGAGCTTCGAACTAGGGGTTTCCATAGCTTTCTTAGGGTTTGCTACTGAAGAGCGCCACATTTCCCGCCGCACGGTCGCTAGGTTTTGTGAGAGCGCGCGCTTTGTTGGAGACCTCTGATGTGAGGGCGGCCGTGCGCTCCTCGGCTAGACCTGGGGAAACTCAGATTGCCTGAGAACAGGGAGGGGCTTCAGGAAGGTGCTCCAGGCCCTGGATTTGATTCAGATGGAAACCCGAGTCAGAGATCCGCTTCCCACCGAGCTCCCTGCCGTTATCTGTGTTCCTACCTTAAGCTCCAAAGTGAACCCTCCCATAGACCTTAATCTCCCCCCCCCCTCTTTGGCAGAACCAGGGATTGAACTCAGGCCCTTGCGCTTGCCTGGGAAGCGCTTATTCCACTGAGCCAACTCCCCGGCCTCGATGGACCTTAATTCTAATTGTATTCTCTTCTTTGATTTTTGCAGCCATCGGAAGACTGTGTGAAAAATGTGAGTGGAACACGCCCTCTCACACCCTACTCTTCAGTTTTCATGGAGCCAGTATGGCTGCATTTTCAGAGGTGGTACAAAGCAAGTACTGGAAGTACATGAATGTTGGATGGCAGGATATAACGAGAGCCTACACTTTCCCCAACTTGTGTATTGGAAACACAAGGTTTTGAGAAAATCTCTTAACTCTGGACGTGGCAAACTCCCAGTGTACCGTAAACCATACACACAAACATTTTGCCAGCGATTACATAATATGTAACTTTCTGGGTGCTGTTCTGATTCTTTACATACACTAATGTTTTTTTTTTTTTTTTTTTTTTTTTTTAGTACAGGGTCTCACTACACAGATCAGACATAGTGATTCCCTTGTTTTCAGCCTCCCAACTGCTGGAATTACAGGCACAGGCCACCATGCCCAGTCTCAGTTGCCCTCTTGGCATGCCCCTGGGGGCAAGACTGGCACGGCACACATGATACTGAACCACTGGCCCCTGCCCCTGCCTAAACAGGTGCTTTAGTCCACTGAGCTGTCTGGCTGGCCCTAAACCCAGGACTTTTACACTAAGCCACATTTTCAGCCCTTTATAATTGAGACAGGGTCTTGCTAAGTTCCCCATGCTGAGTTTGAACTTGTGATCCTCTACTTTAGCCTTCCAGAACGCTGGCACTACATGTATGCACCACCATGTCTGGCTCATTAATATTTTGTATGTGTTGAGCGGATTGAGATGGACACTAAATGAGACAAGTTTTGTGATACTGAAGTAGAAGAGGGCCCCAAAGTCACTGTCTCATAGCAGGAGAGGCCAAAGGACTTGAGGAAGCACTTGCTAGTGAACATGACTCTTACTCGCTTTTCCTTGCAGGTGACGGCAAGTGCGTAATCTGTGACTCCTATGTGCGTCCCTGCACCCTGGTGCGAATATGCGATGAGTGTAATTATGGCTCTTACCAGGGGCGCTGCGTGATCTGTGGAGGCCCAGGAGTCTCTGATGCCTATTATTGTAAAGAGTGCACCATCCAGGAGAAGGACGTGAGTGTACAGAGCTTTCATCTGGGCTTTCTTCTTACTTTGTCATACTCTGCTATCCACAGTAGTGTCCTCAGGTCTCTGGCGATTACTATGTTCAGCAGCTAGTTACCTAGGTTGTAATTCCTTCAAGTTCTATGAGCCAAACTGGGTGTTGTCCAATAAAGGGCAGCTATTTTGCATCAAGAGCAAAAAATGCAAGAGAAGCAAGTGTATGTCAACACCAGCAATTTGGAAAGCTCTCTGTATGCCTTTGATATTCCTTTGTGATTATTCTTATTCACAACTTTTCTGCATTTGTAAGTTCTAACTGCATAGTGTATCTGGCCATTCAGTAGTTCTCTAGATAAATCTACAATCATTAAGAAGACTGCTTGGATGGATGTGGTACCAGTATTGAATTTAGGATAATTCAAGTTGATTTCAGCCTTAAGAAGTTGAAGAACATCTTGTTGCAGAATCCCTTGCGGGTCTTCCTTGGGTTTTTGCCTTTGATATTATATAGTGCCACCCCCCACATCCCCCTTACTGGGGACTCAAATTTGGCCCTTCTCACTGAGCCCATTTTCCATTTTTTTTTTATTTTTTTATTTTGAGATGGCCTCAGAGTTGTTCATGCTAGGCCTGAACCTTCGATCCTCCTGTTTCAGCCTTCAAGTGGGCTGGGATTATCAGCATGCACCTGGCACACCTGGCTCATCTAGTTATTCAGCTCCTGAACCAAAAAGGCTAAGAGGGAAAGGGCTTCTAAAGCAGTGCCAAAGGCACATTTTACCCTTGTTCTTTAATACAGAAGCAGTGTAGAGGAGGTGGAGGAGAGGGGAGCCATGACTCAGGTCATTTTCATCTTCTGACCAAAGAATGTCTGATGTCGTCCCCTTCGCTCTAGGCAAATAAAAAGCACAGTTACCTAATCTAGGGTAAGGCAAAAATTATATAGCTAGTTCTTCATATTCCCATTAGCAAAGAATACTTTGTACATGCTCTCTCCCTTATTCCTCACAATAACTTTGTTAAGTTGGGATTATTATTACCTGTCTTATTTTCCTTTTTTGTGTGTGTATGTGTGGAATCAGTGATTGAACTCAGGACTTTGCACTTTTCAGGCAGGCGCTTATGCCACTTAGCTATCTCCCCAGCTGTCGGTCTTGTTTTTGTAGTTATCTCCTGATTAGTAAGTGGCAAAGCCAGCCTGACCAAACCCTGTTTCTCCATTACTCCATGTTTTCCTTTCTTAAGTTCTTTGGGGCCTGTGCCACTGTTGATAGACAGCGCATTCTCTCAGCAGTCTGAATGGAGATACTAGACCAGACAGGACTCCCATACACAACTGAATGTGTTTAGGAAAATGAGAAAAGTCATAGATTAAGGACCAAAAAATAATTTGAACATTCTGCTCTTCTAAGCTCTGATTTGCATTCACATTGACTGGCAGATTATATCGTGTGTTCCACAAGTGTGGATCTGACCCGTGAGCTAGGTTCTACTCCTTCAGAGGAGCGACCCTGGTTCTCGCCTCTTCCGAGGTCTTGTGCAGTGCCTGACTGATTTCTAGGACAAGCATGGTATACATTGGTAGTGCTGCCCCTTTGAATTATCCATGAGAGTAGGAGTCTTCCTAAAAACACTGATGCGGAGCTGGTGTTGGTAATTATGATTCTAGTCTATAAGCAGCGAAGAGAAAGTATGAACAAATCTTAAACTAGCTAGAGTCCATTAAGGACAACATTTGCTTGAACTTTCGCATGGGTAGAACTAGAGCTTTTATCTGGCATAAACTTGCAACATTAGAGAATATTTAGTAAGTTGTCAGTTGCCGTCTGACTTGTCTGCATGTGCTGTGTGACCTGATCTCTTTGGATCCTCATGCCTCATATCTGTCCCTGAAAATTATTCTAGGCATCACTTCCCCACCTTCATGTTACACAAGAATGGTCTTGAGGATATTTGAGATGATGTGTGGCTCACATTCACCCAGCACTAGTTTCCAAGGAACACAAAGCAGTCCAGTGACATGATCCAGCCTCTCATCCTTACAGATCATCATGGAGATGAGGTGGCCACCGCATTTTCCTATGCAGAAATCTTCCTACAACAAAAGCCACCCCATTATTGTTCTCTTCTTCCTGTGCCTTGCATAATTTATAAGGGAATTGGGCCGGTAAGCTAAGCTGGGTGTCCTCATTTTTAGTTTTTCAAAACCTTGGGGATGATCAGGAGTCAGGGACAATAGCTGTGAATGTTGGCATCAGAGGACTAAGTTTATTTCAGCGTTGTGCTAATACCCTTAACCATTAATTTCCTCTATTCCTTTAACTTGCCATTTTCCTCATCTCTCAGCCAGAATAAGAAAAATAGTTGTGTAACTTTTATGGGTGGGGGGCGTGGTTTTGTTTTTATTTTTAAACTTTCTACAACGCTTTATTCCAGAGGGGCGCAATCCTTCTTGACAGCTGCCTTACTCATGGCAGCCAGCACATTGCTCAGCTCCTCACGCTTCCTCTCAGCACAGATATGTCACCTTACGCTTTTCTTGAAGAACTTGAGGGCATGCTTGTCCTTAGACCTTGATCAGCTCCATGGAGAGCCGCTCATAGGGGGCAAAGCCGCGCACCACCCGGATCATGTCCCACATGAACTTGGTTTGTTTGGTGAGGCATCCGCGATGGTGGCTGTGCCTTGGTTTGCTCACATTCTTAGTCACCTTGTGGCCCTTGTTTAGGCCCATAGCCATGGGATAGCGGAGGGCCATGGCTACTCTTCTTCAATGGTTGCTGTGGCGGAAGGACCAGAGCCGCCTTTTTTTTTATACTGGCGCTCAAACCCTCCAGTTTGAGGGGCCTCACTGTGGGCTACATTCTCAGCACCTCCCTGCTTTAAAAAAAAAAAAAAAAAAAATCTTGAGACAGCATCCCACTAAGTTAGATGCCTAGCTGGGATAGAACTTGTAGTTCTCTTACCTCAGCCTTCCAGAGTGCTGGATTACAAGCATGTGCCACTGTGCCTTGCAACTTTTTTATCGTTACTATGACAGGGATTGAACTCAGAATCTTTACACTGAGCTATATCCTTAACCCCTTTTTTTAATCTTAATTTGAGGTAGGGCTCACTAAATTGCCCAGGCTAGGCTTGAACTTCCAATTGTCTTGCTTCAGCCTCCCAGAGTGTTAGGGTTACAAGCTGTGACACCCACACTGGTTTAAGTTTCATTTTTATTTTATTATTTTTAAATATATTTAATACAGGGTCTCATTACATAGATGGGACCCTCCTGTTTTCAGCTTCCCAAGCACTGGGATTCCAGGCACGCACCACTACACCCATAGTGCCACCCACAGTCTCATTTGCTGTCTCAGCCCGCCCCCAGGGTGGAGGGGTGGGGTGGCATGGCAGTCTGGGATCGGACCCCCAGCCCCTGTGTCTGCCTAAGCAGGTGCTTTAATCCACTGAGCTATCTGACTGGCCCTTAAATTTGATTTTTAAATTAAAAAGAGAGGGGCAGGTGTTGGGTTGCAGCTCAGTGGTAGAGTGTACACACAGCATGTGTGAGGCCCCAGGTTCAATGCCCAGCACCCAAAAATAAAAGCCGAGAGGAATGAGATTTTGTTGGGCAGAAATGAGCTTAGATGGTAAATCATTGTAAGAGGGGCAGGGGAGATGGCTCAGTAGAATAAGCGCTTGCCTGGCAAGCACAAGGGCCTGAATTCAATGCCCGGTTCTGCAAAAAAAAAAAAAAAAAAAAAGTCTACTCACATGCTACTCACATGCTCCTGTGGCCTTGGGGAACTTGTACAAAAACAGTTAGTGGTTCATACTGTCCCATGGGTGCAGTGTATGAAGAGCTAGGTACAGGAAAGTTCCAGAATACAGCTGCAGACAGAAGATGTACTGCTGTTCAGAAGATTCGCGCGCTAGTATGTACAGACTGGGCTTTACCTCACTGGTATTCTGGAATAGTTGCCAAGGGAATAAACAGCTCTTCTTCTTCTGTGTTGTTGACAAAGCAGGTCTGGCCTCTGGCACCTGCTCCTAATTTGTTACCAGTGACACTGACTCACCTTCAGGAATCATGGTTTTTTTGTTTTGGTTTTTTTTTTTTTGGCAGAACCGGGGATTGAACTCAGGCCCTTACGCTTGCCAGGGAAGCGCTTATTCCACTGAGCCCTCTCCCCGGCCCCAGGAATCATGTTTTTATAATCTCACATTTTGTTAAATGGTCTTCCTACACTTCAGTACTGGACAAATTTTTCTTTATTGCATGATTTGTGTTGGTTTTGAAGTGTTGCCTAAAAGTCCTGCATTTTTATCAGTAAACCAGGGTAATTTTTAAATTTGATGGGCTGCCACCGAATGAACTTGATCGATGCAGCCCTTTCTAGAAGGGAGACCCAAGGTCAGTGAGGACTCCTCCACCCCCAGCTGTGGGTTCTCCTGGTGTGTTTTAGAAACATGTGACAGAAACAAACACCTGATGGCTTAGGGGTAAAGCACCTGCAGAGCCCAGTATGTCTAGGACCCCCAAGTTCCGACCCAGCAGCACAGAAAAAGACTTTCTTGCCAGGCATGGTAGGCCATGCCTGTAACCCCAGAACTAGGAGGCTGGGTCAGAAGGATTGCTGTGAGTTTGAGGCCACCCTGGACTACGCAGTGAAACTGTCTCAAGAAATGAAAAAAGGGGCTGGTGAGATGGCTCAGTGGTCTAGGGCACCTACATAGAACAAGCTAAGCTAAGCAAAAGGACAGCGACCGCGGTTCAATCCCCAGCACCACATGCCAGCCAGCCCGCCCCCTGGTGGGCTGAGCTGGCCACACACACACACAC